ATTTCTGATTCTCATTTTTTTTGTATTTTTCCGCCTTCTCATGCTCACGATTTCAGGTTTGTGGATGCTTCATGCTCACAAACGATGCACAAAGTCGTATCGATGACCATCTCAGTGGAAAGCTCCACATTGCCTATACAAGAATTAAAGACCAAATCGACTTGATGGTGAAAGCTAGAGAAGAAAAGAAACTTCAGCTAGAGAAAGAAAGGACAAAGGATAAAGATGACAAGTCAGATAGAAAACGTGATGATCGTGACAAGGATCGAGACAGGGATCGTGAACGGGACAGAGATCGCAAGGAACGAGACAGTCGAAGAGACCGTAGCAGAGATAAAGACAGAAAAAGGTGAGTAAACGAGGATAAGTCATGGTATCGTGTCTGTAGTAGAATCAATTCAAGACCATATGCTTTTAGTTCACGCCGATCGCGAAGTCGTGACCGTGATGGAAGAGATCGACGTTCAGACGATCGGAGGGGGTCAGACCGACGGGATCGCCGCGACAGGAGCCGGTCACGCGACCGCAGGGTTAGTTGTTCTGCCGTCTCAGACAATATTACGCTTTGCGACTGATAGCTGTGTCTCACGGCGGGGTTTGCAACGTCCATCCACAGTTGGCGACATTGTGGAATCTATGGAATCTTCGAGCTTGGTGACTAGAAGGAGACTGCTGAGTTGGTTGGCTCTGCCCTCTGTCGAATTTATCATGATATTCCACAATTCTACTGTGAATGCCTTCACATAGTCCCGCATTCCGTAATATCGACAGCTGGGAACACCTCAATAAAGCGAGCGAATGCTTCTCGCAGGCTGTTTCGCAGTTCGTTTTCAATTTGTTACATGCGTAAGCACATGTGGTAATGAATCCAACAGGATCAACACAAATCGGTTTCTTGAAATGCCTGAATGAAATGGAAAAAATTTTTCGACACTGTTTAACTACTACGATCCCAACCTTTCGAAATCAGGCCGATTTTTATCGGCTTTCCTCTGCGAGGGCAGATTTCGCTGAAAGTTTATTCCCAGGAATAGTTCGACCTCCTGAACACAGATATCGCATCCACTTGGCCTGAAACGGCCCGGCCCCAGCGCCACGACATCGGCGCCGAAAACCCTAAATCACCAGATTCGCTGAAAACTTGTCTCTAGGTGTAGTTTGACCTCCTGATCATAAATGTCACACCCGCTTGCCTCGAAACCACCCTGCGCCAGCGCCATAACCGGCGTCAAAGCACTCTCTGTCACTAAAATCAATTAAAATTTGTATACTGGGGTCATTCAACATCCTGCTTGCGAATATGATATTCATTCTTAGCGCCGCTGCTAATAGGAGACACTACGATCATCTGCGCTCTGCTAAGGCTGTGCCTGGAGGGAAGCACTCTTCTCCAGGCTTCACGCTCAACGCCTAACTTGCGCAGGCTGCCCCCTCGAAAAATGAATGCAACACTCCGTGATCAGGACATCAGACACGTCAAAAAGGGTGTGGCGCCAAATCGATGCCTAATGATGCCAAATGACTAGCGCCCTGGCTAAAAATGAATTTCATAGTAGTGACCAAAACACCGAATAGGCCAGTATGGATGTTCACATGATTTTGGCTGAAAAAGGTAGTTCGCCAAAGTGGCTCTTCATCGGCCGCTTTAAGTCGCGCCAGCGTCGAAAGGCCTATGCCATACGTTGTTTATTTTTTTTTTTTTTTTTTTTTTTTTTTTTTTTTTTTTTTTTTTTTTTTTTTTTTTTTTTTTTTTTTTTTTTTTTTTTTTTTTTTTTTTTTTTTTTTTTTTTTTTTTTTTTTTTTTTTTTTTTTTTTTTTTTTTTTTTTTTTTTTTTTTTTTTTTTTTTTTTTTTTTTTTTTTTTTTTTTTTTTTTTTTTTTTTTTTTTTTTTTTTTTTTTTTTTTTTTTTTTTTTTTTTTTTTTTTTTTTTTTTTTTTTTTTTTTTTTTTTTTTTTTTTTTTTTTTTTTTTTCCTTCTCCTCCTCTTTACTTCCTCCCCTTTTCTCCTCTCCTATTCTTCTCTCTTCCTTCTTTTTTTTTTTTTTTTTTTTTTTTTTTTTTTTTTTTTTTTTTTTTTTTTTTTTTTTTTTTTTTTTTTTTTTTTTTTTTTTTTTTTTTTTTTTTTTTTTTTTTTTTTTTTTTTTTTTTTTTTTTTTTTTTTTTTTTTTTTTTTTTTTTTTTTTTTTTTTTTTTTTTTTTTTTTTTTTTTTTTTTTTTTTTTTTTTTTTTTTTTTTTTTTTTTTTTTTTTTTTTTTTTTTTTTTTTTTTTTTTTTTTTTTTTTTTTTTTTTTTTTTTTTTTTTTTTTTTTTTTTTTTTTTTTTTTTTTTTTTTTTTTTTTTTTTTTTTTTTTTTTTTTTTTTTTTTTTTTTTTTTTTTTTTTTTTTTTTTTTTTTTTTTTTTTTTTTTTTTTTTTTTTTTTTTTTTTTTTTTTTTTTATATAGGAAAGCGTTCAATAACGCGCGTATAGGGCATACTTTCAGCAATTTTTTTCTTTTGCTACGTTTTGGGTGTGTTAATTGAACCAGTCCTAAAAATTGCAAACACTCAGCGGCACAAGAAAACCAAATTGGAAACCAAAAAAAACCCCGGACACAGGTCGCCGAAAGCGATACCTCCTCGCTTTTTCCGCCTCGCAGCCCGATGCATCCATCACTTCCACATTTGAAATTCTGACGCCTGTCGGTCCATCTCATTCGCGTGGCGACGAGCCGCTATGTGCAAGAGAACCGTCACTCTGGCCGGCACTAGTGGCGCGTGCCGACGCTCGACGCCGCTGGGCCCGCCTCTTCCCTAGCTTCGCGACATGAACGCAATTGCAGGAATGCAACGAATTCGCCGGACCAATGGCCAGAATCGCACAAAGCACATTACATACGTCATCGAATTTGAACGAATGCACGAAAATGCGCAACTGGCAGCAAATGCCGACCCGCACGCAACATGCAGAAATGAGGAAACTGGATAACGTGCGGAAATTGCAAAAGTGCGCGAATTCTGCAGAAATGCTCGAAGTGAAGAACAGAAATGTGGGAAACCTCGAAAGCAAGTGGGAACACTGCCGAATGTGCGGCATCTCGCAGAATGCCAGAAAAGCAAAGCGCACTACGTATCGACTTTTGGCGCCACTTTCTGCATTTCTGCACGACTTCCCACTTCCTCTAATTCTCCGGCACTTTTCGTCCTTCTTCAGATCCGATACGCTACTTTTTTGCTTTATTCTCTGCAGATTGCATTTTCACGCCTTCTGCAGTTTCCGCATTTCTGCATTTCTTCACGGTCGCAAGCTATCAACGCGGCCTAATGACGACGATTGTGGTATTGGTCCAGAATAGAAGATGTATCACAAAAGATACACATAAGCGCCTACTATGCCCTTGTCTGAATGAAATGTAATGCTCCAATCAAAACGCTAGTGTGAAGGGAAGTGCGACGAAGCGCCAAGTTTACGATTCTCTTGGCCGTCTCCCCATGAAGGAGTGCGGTGTTGAGGCATAGCCATCGGTCACAGTATGCGCTTGATATTCCTCGGTTTATTTCTCACATTTTTTTTGTCTTTTTAATATTAATTCGTTAAGCGCCACTGACGTCTTCATGCTCTTCATTCCGTTTCGGTATTTCAATCTCATCTCTTTGTTTGTCAAGGTTAGTTCCACAGAGGTTAGTCCATTTATTGTATTCGAAAATCAGTGCCGTAACGGTTGCCTTCTGATACCTCTCTTATTCCACGTCGAGGTCCGTTGCAATCGAGAATTCTGTATTTCTCCATTACTACCGTGGATTTCGAATTCTGAAGTTAGTTTCATGGTGAAATAAGTAACATTTTGCTGAACTATGCTGTAATAACAGTTCCATCAGGACTGTTTACTTTACGGTTAGTTGTAGCGTGAACTTGTGCCTATAAGTCCCTTCGATAAACATCGGCAGTTTTTAGTTCTTCACATTAGGCTAAAACTACCACAATCTTAGTGGTGATTTCAGTTCTTTTCAGGGTCATTGGACCGAGCACCCACATACAGCGGAGAAGAGCTCGATCTGGTATTTACACTTATTTCTTTTTTGATTAGTATGATACTTGCTATTTTGTTCGTTGTAGAATGAAGATTACTATTGATTGATCGTCTGTTTCCATTGAAGATTGAGTGTTGTATACACTGAAAGAATAAAATTCAATACAACGTGAGAACTGCAAGCCAAGGTCAAGCTTATGTCGCGGATTGCGTGACGGGGAATTGTCGCATTCGATCCGCTGGAGGGGAGGAGTCATACTTACACGGGTCAGCAGCTGTGCAAGACCTTGAGGAAGTGAGAGGTGTCGCGCTGGCGCTGCAGTGGAATTTGGTCGGGAACGAAGGGAAATGCATTCATGGCGGGAAAATGATCGTAGAGGTAAGACATCAGTGAAATTAGTACGATGTAGAAGAGGCTTGTAGCAGCTATAGACTACCAATTTGCTTTTACATCACTGGGAAGACTTTAGTAGATCCTACACTCCAAATGCGGTTGCGATTCTAGGTGGAGGTCGTGGGCATGGCGCACATGACGCTGAAGGTCAAGAGCTTCAGTTCCTATTTATCGCGACTGAGGCAGCGTTCAGACTTCGCGACGGCAGCGCTTCGGTCGCGCGTTCGACGCGATCGATGCAGTCGAAAGCATGCGCATCGATCGCGCCGAACGCGCGACCGAGGCGCTGCCGTCGCGAAGTCTGAACGCTGCCTAAGGAATGTGGGGATGAATTTCGAGCTTTCTGCTTGGGATCGTCTTTATTAGGTTGGCGGGAAAGTTCTGTCACTTTTTCGAACTCAAAATATTTGTCCATTACCTGAAGAGGGGTGAACGGTAATGTGAGCACTTATACATCAAAGAGTGGTCTTTCTATTAGTACCACTCGCTTGATTCCTGCTTCTTCTTCTGCAATATGGACAAGAATGTTATCCGCTACCGCCATCGACCCTCCAAATGCT